CTTTGGATTAGCCTGGGTGTCTGAGTCGACTCCTAGACAGCTCTCAAAATACGAAATCAAGCAGACATACTGAGACACCAGTGCAGTGTTCCACTATAAATGCTGCATTCCCCAAGAGCTTCACCTCTGGGTGCTCATGCACTGCCCAGACATTCTCCCGTCAGTCATTAGGTGTCAGTTCATCCAGATACAGAACCACAGATTTGATCAAATCTCTCAAGTCCCTCATCCAATGTTATATACATGACAAATACCATCCAGACACTACTGTTAATTTTAATGAAAATTTTTCGTCATAGTTATCGTCAACGACCATTATTTTCAGACTAAAACGAGATGATAACTAAATAAAGATTTCACAAGACCTAAGACTATGACGGAGTGTATTGACACTTTCGTCAACGAATAAAAACGAGACGAAAATGTTTGCCAGAGACGAGATACAATCAGAACTAATGTAGATCGAGTAAGGCAGGGGTATTCAACTAAAATTTAAAGAGGTCCGATTAGAGAAAATTTCTTGAAGCAAAGGTTCGGAAGATCGTATTGTCTAACTATTTAGTGTGATATGTATTTAAGTAGCCTATTAGTTGTATCAACATTGCATGTAATCAATATCTGACTGTCAAATCATGTTTTCTCATTTACTAGTTTTAAAAGGACATTTTAAAATTAGGGATGCATTTCAAAACAAGATAAAATAAAATGTGAAAATTGTGCATGTTTACATAAAGTGCTTAACTTAAACCGTAAAACCTTAATAGGCTACAATCGTTTTTATGTCATATAAAGTGGTACCTCAGTTCTCGAGCTCATTAGAACTCGAACCAACCAGTTCGAAAAAAAATTAGCTAGAACTCGACCTTAATCTCAGAAGCCAAACCGTGAACGCCAACCTAGGATAACTTGTACGCGCGGGGAAATGAGTCACACACCATGTCTCTCAGCAGAATCAAAGGGTAAGGCTTCAGTCTCAGCCTCGCATTCAACGGGATAGCATCATGGATGTTTACACTAGCTGAATACATATATTTAGACAGTAAAAATACATTTAGACAATGATAGACAGTAACAGTAATTATTGTTATATAATAAAATGCATGTAAAAATAAAGATTTATTATTAATTAATTTAATATTAATAATAAACCATTAATACATTTAATTATAATGATATTAACGTGCTGAGCAGGAATGGAACTGAGACAAAGGTGCAGACGTCAGGGTATCAGGGAATACGGGGTTTAATTACAGGTAAGGCAGGCACACGGGATTCCACACGGTGTTAACGAGGAGGCGTGGCACATGGAGGAAGCGGATGATCGGGGCAGGACACATTGTTTGGATACATTTATTTTCTTACTTTACAAATTACTGTTTTGATAAATATGCTTAGATGTGTTTATTACAGTATATGCTCTTCTTGTTTTATCCGGTTCATTTTGTTTTTATGTTTTAAAAAAAAAAACATATTTAGGTATAATTTTTTGGGGCCGGGAACCAATTAATTTTCCATTATTTCTTAAGGGGCAAATTCGATCACAACTCGAACTTTTTAGGATTACAGTCATTGCATTTCATGTTTCACCTTTGTAATATGCGTACGCTTTTATTTTACAGTAAAATACCGTTGTAACGGACTTCAAGGGACCTGGCAAAACAGTCAGTTACATCCAGAGTTGCTGTATGCCCAGAACACAACTACATTACACCATTTAGTCATGCCACACCTCAGCAGACACACTTGTGGTATAGATTATTATATTGTACATGTAGTAATCCAACTTTACCTGACTAGATGCGTGACTATTAATAATCCCGACTACGTACGTATCTGCGCTGGATATCACCCGCACGCTTTTAGCTGTAGTTCTGTTCGGCTAAAAACGGACATGCAGTTCCGCCTACAAGGTGTAGGCGGAACTGCATGTCCGTTATAGCCGAACAGAACTACAGCTAAAAGCGGCCCTGGAGACCAAATTGTTTGTCCATTATAAGCGAAATTCCAGCGTATCATGCCAGAAGCTTGAGATTTGGCAACTCTGAAAACGTACATTTTTGTTTCACCTAAGATGATTTATATAACAAGTACATTATTTTATACAGTTGTTAAAAGGCGGAAACTTCAACGAACATGAAATCATCTGAAAGAGAGGATTTTTGGCTCTATACACTAATAGAATTGTAGCCTTGGGGTAATTATTTTGATGTTGAAAATGCTATAATTGAACGGTTGCACTTCCTGCTACTGATAGCTGTTGAGAAGTATGTTTGGAATTTTTTTTTCTTGATAATGGGTATAAATCCCTGAGACCATTATTGGTCTTTTTCTTTGAACAAACAGTGGTACCTCATAACTCGAACTTAATCCGTTGAGAACTCCTAAAAAGTTCAAGTTCTGATCGAATTTTCCCCATAAGAAATAATGGAAAACCGGCCCCAAAAAATTGCACCTATGCAATATGGTTTATTTTTTAGCATTTAAACACAAAATGAACAGGATAAAACAATACAAGCATATACTGTACTAAACACATCTAAGCAAATTTATCAAAGCAGTAATTTGTAAAGTAAGAAAAGAAATGTATCCAAACAATGTGTAAAGTTAAAAAAACAATGTGTCCTGCCCCGATGGTCCGCTCCTTCCATGTGCCACACCCCCCTTGTTAACCTCGTGTGGAATCCCCGTGTGATCAGCTGTTTCTGGTTGTTGTCATTAGTTCTATGTATTTAGTTCGCTTTTCAGTTTGTCTCCCCAGTCCAGTCATTGTATTGTCCGTCTGTGTATTGCCTGCCTTACCTGTAATTAAACCCTGTATTCGATACCCTGATGTCTGCGTCTTTGTCTCCATTCCGGCTCGGCACAACAATATCATTATAATTAAATATATTAATGGTTTATTATTAATGATATTAAAATAATAAGAAATCTTTATTTTTAAATATATTTTATTATATAATAATAATTACTGTTACTGTCTATCATTGTCTAAATGTATTTTTACTGTCTAAATATATGTATTCAGCTAAAAATTAACACTGCCAGGTACACTCTTGGTCTGCTTCTTGGTTCCTCTTTATATACATTTTTTTTTTACTTATAAGTAGTACGATAAATAGCAGTATCAGCATCACCAGAATACTCTGTGGCTAAAACAGGACATATAAAAATATATATAAAATATAACATACAGAGCGCAGCCACATTGGGTGGAGCAGTGCCTGTGCTGTTACTCACTCGGCCCTGTTCGCTGTTCACGGGCAGGACATCTCTTCCCCATGATCAGACTCTCATGTGCACTCTTCCTCCAGCATAACTGCCAAGTTACTGCTCACTGTATCTATGTGTGTGCTGCCAAATTTTTGGAGGTCTGTTCCTTTTTCAAATGCAAAGTTTGGAAAACGAAGGCAAACTAGGAGCATCACAAAAGATCACGAGTCAATCACTAAAGCACAGGTCAGTTGAGGGCTCAATGCACAACAGCACAGCTCTTTTTAAAGAATACATGGTTTATATATCTATTCTGTTACAGAGAAATTAAATCATACTGGTTACATCCAAGCTGTTGCATAACAGCCTCCAATAACATCCAGTAGTATGGTCAAGTCACTTTAATGTCATTGCACACACATGAAATGAAATTGCATTTCTGCTGAGCATCAGACAGCTAGAACCAAGAACAGTTGAACAATAAATACTGAACAATAAAACACTACATAACTGTACACAATGATGATGCAATAAAGCAAGTAAACTGTAGGTGCAAGACAATGCATATGGACAGTAGACAATGAAAAAAACATTATAGTGCAAATATGCAGGTGGAGACATTTTCCAATGGTATTTGTGAGAAGGGTGGGATTTGAGAAGTATGACAGGCTGGGGAAAAACGTTTGCAGAGCCTAGTGGTTGGTTTGCACCGAATGTTTCAGAACCTTTTGTAGATGGAACAGGGGGTGCTGCTTAACCAACAGTAAATTTGAAAATGTTAAGTGGGATTTATTGATTTTTCCATGTATTTGCATGAGCCAAATAGTCCATTTGCTTTTGAGAAGTTAATTTGCTATTTCAGATACTACATCTTCTCATGATCTGACATCCTTTCCATTTTATAAAATTGATTATTGATATTTTAACAATAAAAAATCAATAATATCCATTTGCATTAATTGATCCGAATATATAAATAGCCTGTAGTCATGAGAATGCGATACCGCAGTGTTTCCCAAGCTTTTTTCTGGGGATCAACTGTTTTACAAACGACAAACCATTGCAACCCAGTTCACAACAGGTCTTATAAATTAAGAGAAGAGTGAATATGTGCATAAAAGTATGTTCCTGATCATTTTTAGTACCATTTTCTCATCACCTTATGGTATTTTGAACTGGAAAACCAGTCATCTGGAAGAGATCTCATGAATCACATTGTAGTATTTAAGTTTCATCAGATTTGTTTAGTTGCCAGAAGATATAATAATGTTGTGTTTCTCTATGTACAGTATATTCAGAATCAGAAGCTTTATTCTCTAAGTACCAGGTGTACAAGGAATTTCTCTCGGTACAGGTGTCCACATAATATTAATCCAATAAAAAAAATAATGCCCGATTAAGTTTCTTATGCTTCCCAAATCAATCTTAGCTAAGGACACAGTGGCCCATTTTATAGTCTCTCTGGAGGAACACTGGAGGTATTCCTAATTCTGTAGGATTAACTACATTTCAGTCTAGAACAGGGGTCACCAACATGGCCCCCAAGGACCACATGAGTTGCCCAGGGACCTGTTCTAAAAATAGCACAACTCACCATTGAGCAGCGTCTAAAATTTAATTTTATCCTGTTGCTATTCTTCTTTAATCACATTTGCATTAATATAGATTTGAAAATGACAATATCTAAAAAAAAAACATTTAAAACATGTTTATTATACATGATTTACGAAGAGTGTATCAAACTGGTAGCCCTTCGTACTGTATGGCTCAGTACCCGTGAAGTAGCTCTCAGTTTCAAAAAGGTTGGTGACCCCTGGTCTAGAATGTAAGTTTCCCAGCAAAGCCCACTATTCTTGTTAATTTTGTTAGTAGTGGTAAATCAGATTTAATTGTGTTAAATTTAAACATCCGATCTTGAAGCTTAAATGTAAATTAGCAAGGTGAATATTAAACCGTTTCCTCCCTACTATTAGTTTGTGGCAGCTCATTTATCCTCATCAACCAGAAGGCTCTCACACTGACCACCCCTGACAGCCTCTGTTTGACACTGAATGACATCACAACACGAGGTGGGATATTTTGTATTGAATTTGAAAAATGGCTATAGAACAATATATTATTATACACTCACCTAAAGGATTATTAGGAACACCATACTAATACGGTGTTT